TTACACCTTAACTTATAATTTTTAAATCATATGTTAAAAAACCTTAATTAATCTACACAAACATGAATCTTAAAATCTCACAAGGCCTACGCAATCAAAGCAACAGTTTAAACAAAACTAATTTCAGCAAATGTAAGCTTGAAATCAATAGTAAATTAATTCAGTAACAGCACAAGCAATATCTCCATTGTCCCAGCATTAAGACAACCAATCCTTTCCTGCTGGTCCATCCAAAAATTTGGCAACATATTATCGACGCATGTCAGTTAGTCCTCACCAAGATGATGAGGCAATAAAAAGGATCGGATGACATCAAAACAATAGCGATTTTACTTTTAACAGCATCATTCAACCTCTTAATTCAACAACACGTACAAAACGTTATCAACAATTTTTTAATGTTCAATCCATCATGTAGTGGCAACTTACCAAAATGACAGCATGTGTCTTCCAATTAAGTCCTAATGCAAGCCTGAAAATGCTTAAGTCTCCTGACTTGAACCTGTACGTTGGCTTAGTCACAGCAACCTTCCCATTTTGACACAAGCAGGAAAAAAAAACTTGATGTTGAGTGATAATTTAGTATGTCCAAGGTCTCTCTGATTTAAGCAGGAAAACATTAGATGAGTGCAAAAAGCGAGGGAGCACTTTATCCAAAAAAAAAAAAAAAGTGAGGGAGCATAAAAGTTTAAATATGTAACTATAAATTCATATATTGAAAACACCTTTGATAAGCTAATTGTAGATATGAAGGATTGAAGAAACATTGTAATTATATGGCATCAAGATGGAATCACTATAAAGAAAAACATGCAAATTATGAAAAGAAAAGAAACAAGAACAACAATGTACCATATCAAAATTCAAATTGCCACTCTTACTCGCAGATCTTCCATTTCCTTATCTGATGTTTGCATGGAGATTGAACAATTACTTTGCCGAAAAGTTGTTTTGTGTATATAGAGTAACAGGGGTCAAAACCTCCAAGGATTCTTATAAAGCTCATCCTTCTTAATCCATAATAACATTTTACCAGTAAAATGGAACTATATAGTTAGGGAAAATAATTGGTATGTTTTCCAATTCAACACATTTACTAACACCCTCTGATTAAGTTATTAAAATTTATTTTTAAAATTTTTTTTGGTTTAAATTCAAATATGAAAATATTAGTTTCTTATAAAAAGAACTAACAAATTAAGTGCAAATACATTAGAACAATGCAGGCAAACAGATTCTCTTGCAAGAAATTGCACATCAAAAGCAAGATACTTAAACTTTTAATAGTTCAAAAAAAGAGAAAGTTCTTCTTATGAGCCTTGGGTTGTGATTGTTCTTTCAATTGTTCTTTCTATGAAAAAATATGTAAACATCATCAAATAAGATTACAAAGAGAAATCATATTTGGAATTGAATCTATTAAATCTATTAAATCCCAAATCTAATTGCTTGCCACCGAGTGCTTTTTTCATCACGTTCATGTTGACTTTGATTTCCCTTGATTTTTTGCTTGGTAAATTTGACCATAGATTTTCATATAAAAGCTACTAAATAAAATTTATAGTGGGAGTAACAGAGAGTCCTAACTCCTCATACCTCATTGCACACACAGGAAGAATTCATTTAGAAGGAAATTAAATTTACAAACTAAATTAAATTCTCATTGGATGAGAAACACAAACTATGTAAAAAATCCTTATCCTGATATTAAACATAATCTTAAACCAACTACTAATTCCCAGTATGTATTCCTAGTAATAAAACCAACTACAACTCACACGGGCCATATGCGAAACAGTTGGTGTGAATGAGAAAGGGACCACCTGCATTCTTCTGAATGAGAATATCCTCTGCTTGGACATCAATGATCCAAATGGAGATGGATGCTTGCTTTAGAACCCACTCCTCCGAAACGAATGAGATTGCTGACGCCAGTGGGATTCTTCAACTTGGATTTGATAGCAAAAGAATAGTAAAGGCATCCCTTGTGTAAATTTCCTCTTCTCCATCCTTTTGGTTTGGTATGAGCCTTAAATTAGAGTTATAGACCATGGAACCAAGCACAAAATCTTCATTGCCTATGGCAAAAACTGCGTTGTGTAAATCTAAAAAGAAGATGAAAACAATTGAGAACCAACCCAACAAATTCTGAGCGAAAATAGCAACTCATTAAATGTTATTTTCAGAAAGCAAACCCAACAAATCAGGGGCACAAACCTAAGTAGGAAATCGTTCACGAAAGTGGAAATTGATCGAGCCATAATGGGGTAGTTTCTTGCAATTTTTTTATAGCATAAGAACGCAAAACAACAGAAGCATATACCATCAAAATGTCTTCAGTGTTTGCCATTTTGGGCCACCTAAGCCCATTAAGACTACATTGGAAGCGCTATTAACAATAAGGATTGATGTTTAATAGCCTTTAAAACTAGAATAATTCTTCCGTCTCTCATAGAAGGCCCAATATATAGGGCCTTCTCACAAAGCTTTGGTTGACACCTCGGTAAACA